ACAATCTAGCTGAACAACAAAAGAGAGAAGATCACTAAAAAAAACACATCATTTTCTGTGTCTACTATCGGTCCATACACATTAATAAGACAAATCAGACCTAAATATGCCTTTAGATTGCCAATAATATCCATAAACCTACTGTATAAATATTTATAGTGCAGATTAAACACCTCATCATCCCACAATATAACTAAACCTCTCGCTGCCCCTTCTGCTGGAGACCAGAAGCAACCCTGTAATAGATTTCCTCCAAGCCTTCTAACAAGAATTTGTTTCATCGAATCCACTATCGATTCTTGAATAAATAATAAAGATGGCTTCTTTTCCAATATCAAATTCCTCATCACTCTTAACTTCTCATTCCTTCCAAGACCTTTTATATTCCACGATATTATAGCTAACTTTTACATTATAAATTAAATAAAAAGATACCTATTCACCCGTGGGCCTTAATTCTCTTCCCCTATACCCTTCAATTTCTCTTTAGCAGTAATATTTTTAACCAAGGTTTTTTCCCCTGTGCCCAATAAATTGCTAGCATTCCAAAGAGCATTCACCTTGTTCTTCTCCTCCGACCTACGTGGGGAAGCTCAAGAGGAAGACTGATCTTCATCACTCATGACGCTTTTTCATCTAGATCTATAATATACCCTCCTGAAGAATCTGTTATCTCTCATTCCTTCTGAGACACAACTTCATGTGTTGTGCCTACGATTTGAGTTAGAATGAGAAAACTGAGAAGAAATATGCTTATGAGAAATTGTGTTAATCTCTTCCAAGCCTTTAGTTTCCTTTGAAAATGGCCCAGACACACTGTGATTATCCTCTCTCATTCCAGGTGGTTTTAAAGAGCTATGCCTTATTCTCAACCCAATTTGAGAACCACTTTTCCCATACTGTTTCAAACCATTCTGATCAAACCCATCATCAGAAACAAACCTGATGCCCCACAAAGGTTTTAATAGGTTGTGTTTCTCCAATCTTGAAACATATATCATATTGTAATTAAAACTTGTTGCGAATGAAACATTATTCCGCCAATCAATATCAAGGTTAGACCTAAGAGGTAAAAAAGATTAAACTCAAGGAAATGAATATGGGCTATGCAACCAAAAACCAAAGATTAAAGTTTATTCCAATGGTCCACCTATGTGAAATTTAAACTGATGTTTCCATTCCTCTGCCTTGACATCACACATAATTGTCGTTTTATCACAGCTTCCCATAAGAAGATAATTTCCTTTTTGTTCCACTTTATAGAAAATATAGGTCCTTTGTATTTACTCAATGCATCACTTACTTCACCTAAACTAAGAAAGAATTGGGTGACAGAGAGAGAAAATGTGTCAAGGATGATGAAGTGTAGAATTCTCACAATCAGTCCAAAATAGCAATGTAATTATAAATAGCTAAAAGTATAACAAGTTCAGTTAAAAATACAAATAAACATTTATTTTAGCAGGGTAATTAGCTATTAATTTAATAAAAGAGAATTATCGAGCACCAAAAAGCACATGGAAAAACTGAGTTAGTATATCTGAATAGTCTCAAAGTCTCGTTTAACAAATAGATTTGTGGCCTTTAATTTCATGATATAAAATAGAACAAATAAAGTAACCTGACTAACCATTTGTAGTCCAAATCCTTACTTGGCCATCATATGAACATGTTACGAGTAATGTCCCCTCACCCTGAATACACAGGAAAAAGGAATCATACTTATTCTATATTGAAAAAAATGATCATAAGATAAGCAAGTACATAAAGTTCAATTTATAGAATTTCCAATAAGTTCAGTCACTGCACAAGAACAATTAAAAAGACACTTTAAACAACAATGTAGAATAACGATCAAAAGGCAATCATTTATAGTTTACTCTGCCATTTCTAGAATTTCCAATTAAGTGTACTTATTGAGAATACCAATTAAAGATACACACTTTATATATAAATAATTGCTTCTTACAGAAAAAGACACCATTGCAGAGTAAAAGTTTTGCATTAGTTGAAATCCTTATGAGCCAAACATCAAACTAGTAGAATTACATGGTCAACTACTGGTGCACATAGGGGACTTGGATGGTCAGATGTATCCGGCATCAAGGAGATCCTTCAACTGTTTGTGCATCTCCTCTAACTCAAGTGAAGCCATTCGATAAGGGGTTTGAGAGGGTGGCTCCACATTCGGCATAAACTCAATCTTGTGATCTAGATCGCTCTTTGGAGGCAACTCGGTAGACATCACATCTTTAAATTATCCTAAAGCGTGACTCACCACATTGGGAATTCTTTGGTTGTGGCTGGGTTCTCACACACCAAGACAGCCAAGAAGGTCGGCTCCTCCTTGCGCACCACCTTCGAGAATTGAATTGCGGACAAAACTTTGGCCCCTACTCTGGACCCTCAATTTACTGGAATAATGCATTGTTGCTTTGGATCCAGGATGCACAAATAATCGACAAAAGGAATAGGGAACACATTGATTCAGTCCAAGAAACTTAACCCAAGCACAAAGTCGAAGTCATCAAGAGGAATCATCTTGATGGCTTCCCTATAGGACCAACCTCCAACGATTACCTCAATTCCCTTCGTGACTCCCGCAATTAAAACTTATTCGGCGTTCACAGTTTTGATGGAACCACCTTTCTTCTCCACATGAAGGCCAAGTCTTTTGTCAAATTATTCGGACATGAATAACTCTGAGACACAAGTGTCCACTAGTGCACTCAATTTCTGACCAGCAACGTTGATGTCAACGAACATCAACCTCTTCTTCTTTCGACCCTTATTAACCTCCATGGTGCTAAGGATGAAGCCAAGCTTAAGAGTCCTACTCTCTTCCCCATCTTTCTCCTTGATGGCTGAGAGTTTATTCTTCTGCGGACAGTCCCTCGCCAAATGCCCTTGGCTCTTGTAGTTGTAACATTGGATAATCTGCTTGTCTTTCTTATCAAAGTGCTTACCATTCGATGGCTTGCCAGTGCCACTCGAATCTTTGTCAGATTTGAATGCCTTGTCCCTATCACCACTATTACCTCGAAACTTTGGCATCAATTTAGAGTTCACTTTCTTGATGCCAATCTCAATGATTGAATCGACCGTTGTCAAGGCAATCGAGAGCTCCTTAACACCTCGTCGCCATGGTTTCAACCTATCCATGAAGATGAAGAACTCGTCTTTCTTACTCAAACTCGGGACTTGGAGACTTAGTTCGACAAACTTTCGAACATGCTCCCTCAAAGACCCTTCCTGCTTAGATGCCTTAACTTGGATCGCGCCTCCTCTTCAGCATACTCCGGGTAGAATTGTTCCTTGAATTCAGCTTGGAACTTGTCCCAGATCTCGATGGCAGCGTTCCTACACTTCACATCGTTGCATCTACGTCACCACCACATGAGGGCAACCTCCGATAAGTAAACACTAGTGATGCTTACTTTCTTGGCATCCTTCATGATGCCTATGGCTGCAAAGTATTGGTCCAACCCCCAAAGAAAATTCTCGACATTCTGGGCGGACCTTGTCTCTTTGAACTTCTCTGGCTTAGGGATGTCACCCAAAGCTTTGGGAGCAACAATGGCTACGTTATTCCCGAATACAGCTTTGCACACCAGCAACTCGACCTCCCTTTTTAGCCCTGCCACCTCAGAGTCGGAACCATTGCTTCCTCGACTTCCTTCCTTAAAGCCACCACCATGGCTTTCAAGGGATCACCTCAATCAGTCGTCTTCACATCCAACTTATTTAATGTCTCTTAAACCTCATTCTTGATACTTTTCAAGGACTCCAACTTGCCGAGATCCAATGATATCAGCCTTTCAAGGTCTACAGACTCCAACATGTCCAGCACTTCCTTGGCTTCCATCATGGAACCCTCGAGCCTGGCAACCTTCTCCTAGATGGACATGAGAACATCTTTCGATAGTGCTCTATTCTTTCCAGCATTGCAGGTTTCATTCCCATCGGAACCTGTTGTCTCGCCATGTTGTGGTGTCATCTCGAACCAATAAAAATCAACAAAAATAAGCTCTGATACCACTTGTCACAGGAATAGACTGCTGCTAGCAAGCTCGTGCAGATTTAGTCGATTTCTTGCTTGCAGCAGTCTAACCCCGTGACACATGGTTCCACTGAATTATATATTATAATTTATTTTAATATTTTAATACAAAAATCCTTAAAGTATAATTTATTATTTTTAATAATTTATTTTAATTATTTAAAATAAATAAAATTCATAATTTATATATTAAAATATTAATAGCGAGTTATATAAAATATATTTTTATTATAATTATATTTTTTATTTATATTTTTTATAGTTTTATTATAATTTAAATTGATATAATTCATATATAATAATATTTTTTTAATTTTATTATAGTTTAAATTGATATAATCCTATATAAGTGTAAACATAATTTAAATGTTATATTATAGTTTACAACATAATGTCTAAAATGGACATTTTATCTTTTTAAACTCATGTTTTAACAGTAATCTCAAATAATTAAATTTTAAACTGTACTTTTGAACAACACTGTTAAAAGTTTGTTTCTCCGGTACTTTTAAAAGTTACTTTTCAAAAGTAATACCAAATTAATATTTGTTAGTTTTATCTAATAAAACGATATCGTTTTGAGCTTTTCTAGGCTCCAAAATAATCAAATCAAAATGACATCGTTTTTGTGCGACTTCCACATCAGCAATCGTCGACTATGTCACCGTAATCATCAGCCACGTTAAGTGGTATAATTGAGGTGAAAATTAAAGTTTAGTGTTATAATTAATAAAATTATAAGTTTAGTAGTATAAACCAATTAACAGATAAAGTTGAGTGGTATCTAATGTAGTTTACCTATATTTAAATTGGGCTGTGTTTCCTTTTTAACTCTTATTTTTGAATTGTAGAATATCCCGCTCATTCTCTAATTTTAAAATCTCTTTCAAACGTCTCTTTCCATTACAATAGCAGCGCCACAAAGAAAATTAATAAAAAAGGAAAGAAAGAAGGAAAAGAAATCCGAAGCAGCAAAGCTGAAGTAGAAAGAAAGCAATGGCGACAAACATCGGTATGATGGATGGGGCTTACTTCGTCGGCAGATCTGAGATTCTTTCTTGGATCAACACCACTCTCCATCTCAATCTCTCCAAAGTCGAAGAGGTTTCTTTCTCCTCCCTTTATGTCGTTAATCTTTCCATTTTTAATTGTATAAATCAATAAACTTTTTGATTTTATTGAAATGATTTGTGTTTTCAGGCATGTTCTGGCGCCGTTCATTGCCAGATGATGGATGCGGTTCATCCAGGGATGGTACCGATGCACAAAGTCAATTTTGATGCCAAGAACGAATACGAGATGATACAAAACTATAAAGTTCTCCAAGATGTCTTTAACAAACTCAAAATCACCAAGGTTTTTAACTTTATCTTAATTCTTCAAGGATTTCTTCTTTTGATTTCCTGGTTTTGATTTTTTTTAATAAATTCTTTTTTTCATTGTTTTAGCATATTGAGGTGAGCAAGTTGGTGAAAGGAAGGCCGCTTGATAATCTGGAGTTCATGCAATGGATGAAAAGATACTGTGATTCGGTTAATGGAGGCGGGCTAAATAAGTAAACTTCTTTTAAACCTTAATTTTCTTTGTAATTAGTGTGGTTCTTTTTTTATTATTTGAAAAGTTAATTAGTTTGATTCCAGTCTGATGATTTTTCTCTATAAGCAAAAATATGGTTTCTTTTTCCTATTTAATTCAGGTTAACTAAAGTATTAAAATTTTAGGAATTTTGGCTAACATTAATTGTTTTATATGAATTTAAAACCAAATTCTATGTTAGAATTTGGCATTGTTTGCATGAACCTAGCGACCTTAGTGGTTAAAGAATTGTTGTTATTCCTTGAGGACCAAGTTTGAGCATGTAGGGGTGTTTGAGCACTCAAATGGTTGAGAATATTTGAATAATTTTACTTCCTTGTATTTATCTCATACTAATAAAAAAGGAATTTGGCATTGTTTTTTATTCATCTGTCTTACATCACTATTATGACAGATTGTATAGTTTTCCACATTTGAGAGTTTCAACCTGCTTGTATTAAAGGTTTTGCCAGCATGTGATACTGTCAATCTAGCCTTAATTTTGGTATGTTCATTATACATAATTGAAATTCATGGAACTGGTTGATTTATTGGTGAATGGTTTCTCGAATTTGATGCCGACAATTAATTTGGCCTGAGCTTTAGTATATTCATAATTCATAATTGATTTTCATGAAACTGGTTGTTTTACTTAGTGAATGGTTTGCCGCATTTGAAACTGACAATTAGGCCTGAGCTTTAGTATCTATACTAATAATTCATAATTGAATTATGAATGGTTCACTTTCTGGTGGTGTTCTACTTTTTGAATTAAAAGAAATGAAAAGAACCATGAGTGGTTTTTGCCGTTGTCATATGCAGTTACAATCCACTAGAAAGGAGAGAGGCTTCTAAAGGAGGAAGAGAAACAGGCAAGAAATCAGCTCCTCAACAATCCTCAACCAAGGGTTTAAGTGCTGCTCCTAGACCTTCATCTTCTCATGCTCGAAGGAACAGCAATGACGTTCCATCATCTGCACACCTTTCTAATCAATCAGAAAAGGCATCATCCAAACCATCTACATCAATGGCTGCTTATGATGAACAAGTACTTAATATTCGTTGAGCAAATTGATAATTTTATTTTTTTAAGAATTAAGAAGAATCTGATGTCTTCTCCTGCACAATGTAGATCACCGCTTTGAAGCTATCTGTCGATAGTCTTGAGAAAGAGAGGGATTTCTACTTTGCAAAGTTGAGAGATATTGAGATTCTCTGCCAGACTCCTGAAATCGAAGACTCTCCGGTACTCTCTTTCAACATTCTGATTTATATTAGGAAAATGTTATTTGTGGTAAGATAGTTGTTGAAGTTGATTGTTTAAATGTTTCACTCTATATGTTATTACAGATTGTTGCAGCTATCCAAAAGATTTTATATGCTACAGATGGTGATGCATCAGTTGTGTCCGAAGCTCAAGCCATGGTGGCACTTCACTCCAAGGAAGCGGGGACTTTGAGTCCAATTGCTGAGGCATCGGAAGAGAAATCCACTTGTGAAATTCAAAAGAGGAAAAACATTTTGAACTCTGATGTAGATGCAGCTGGAATCATAACATTGTCTCCAAGGCAAAGGCTTTCCGATGCTTCTGATGTTCACTGCAGTGGGTCACCTCTTATGACTTACTGATCTGCTTGACAATACAGTTTTGTCAAATATAGTTACAGTTTTATATGTTGTTTTTGTAGTCGAACTAGGGTTGTCCAGGACTGTTAAGGACAGGATGTCATCCGGCTTGTCAGCATAGTCTGTTTGGATCATGTTGTGTATTTGGAAGGTGAAAGAATACCGTGCTATTATATTCATATCCATTCTGCTTCAGTAGCTAAGGGTTCTGCAGCAAAAAAAGAAAATTTGGAATGATATATGCACCTTGGTTCAGCTTCTCTTTTTGCTTATTTTTGTTATGGGAGTATGAACGATTAGTTTCTTTTTACTGTCTAATTATAGTTTTCATGATTTTAAAGTCTACAATTTCTTTAGTTTTGCATTCTTAATGGTTTCCCCTGCGAGTACATAATGTGCCTAACTATTCTGAGGGGTGCACTGGATTTGCAGCATATGTGTAGAATGATTGGTTTTGACAAGATAGACTTATCCAAATACACTCATGGCCTCCGTCTAAGCTACCATTGCCTCTATTGTAGGCTTTGCTACCACCTCTCCAATGTTGCTGGCGCAGCCTCCCACATTGGCATTGGCGGCAAAAGCGCCCAGATAATGCTACAGGGATTGTTTAATTCCCAATCTAACGTGCTCATCCGATTATTTCCTTAAATGGGGTGTTTTCTATAGTAGATTTATGATATCTCGGCGTCTTCAGGGTTGAATCAGATTTTTTTTCGGTCTTGCTTGGGATCTCCCGGCGTCTTTAAGGTGTTTGGATTGTTTATTGGATCTCTAGGCGTCTTCCATTAAAAAATTTGGTATTTATACACAAATATCACCTTAACATTAATTAATTATTTGTTAGACACTGTTTAAGAATATTTTACGGATTTAACAAAATTTTAAATACTTTATATAAAATTAATCATATTTTGTTAGTATTTTATTTAATTATTTAATTATTGTATTATTTAATTATTTTATTTAATTATTTTATTTTTTACAGTTATAAAATGAAAAGTGATCCTTCAATAATTATATATGTATTTATCGGTTTTTAAACTTTTCTCTCGGCTATAAATACGTTCTCCACTCGTAAACATTCACAACAATCCTCTAAACTAGAATAATGTCGTCGCTTCAGTACATATATCCACGTGTTGAGAGCGTATTTATAGCCGAGAGAAAAGTTTAAAAGCCGAGAAATACATATATAATTATTCAAGGATCACTTTCTATTTTATAACTGCAAAAAAATAAAACAAAATAATACAATAATTAAATAAAATACTAACAAAATATGATTGATTTTATAGAAAGTATTTAAAAATTTGCTAGATCCGTAAAATATTCTTAAACAGTGCCTAACAAGTAATTAATTTATGTTAAGGTGATATTTGTGTAAAAATACCAATTTTTTTCATGGAAGACGCCTAGTGATCCAATAAACAATCCAAACACCTTAAAGACGCCGAGAGATCCCAAGCAAGACCGAAAAAAAATCTGATTCAACCCTGAAGACGCCGAGATATCCCAAGCAAGATAAAAAAAAATCTGGTTCAACCCTGAAGACGCCGAGATATCCCAAATCTACTATAGAAAACACCCCATTTAAGGAAATAATCGAATGAGCACGTTAGATTGGGAAATAAATAATCCCTGTAGCATTATCTGGGCGCTTTTGCCATTGGCGGCAAAAGCGCCCAGATAATGCTACAGGGATTGTTTAATTCCCAATCTAACGTGCCTGGCATTGGCATTGCCTTTGCAAACAAATCAAGGACACATATTCATTACTGAATACTTGCAAGAAATACGAACTATATGGTTAGTTTTTATGACTTAATCGACGTAGTCAACTCCAAACCAGCTTAACATCTATTTGGTCAGTTTCTGTGGAAGTATTCATTACCAAGTTTAATTGTAATAGAAAATCCTGATAGAAATGCCATGACAGCTTCTGAAATCACTTATAAACCAGCATTCACTTGGGCAACGCCATTGGTAAACTATAATGTTAAACAACTTGACATCATTTTCATAGATAGAGTAGTAAAAGCTGTTATTATAGTTCTTACTTTCCTATGCTAATTGTTCCATTGTTAGGAAATTGAGTAATGATGCCACTGCCACCTCTGGCGTGGGCTTTTATGAAGGCCTTGATTGGCACTGATAAACTGGTAATTACCATAACCTAAAACGTAAAAACCCTGGCAGGGCTTTCTGGCATTTTTGGGTCAGAATTTGTGACATTTTGCATAAAAAAAACAAGTGAATGAATCCAAATCCTGAAAAACAGTACCTGATGTACAATGAGAGCCATTATAGCAATCACAAGGTCAAAAGGCCTGTAGATGGTGGTTTCATATGCTCTTATTTTTTTAATTAAAAAGTCTGGATTCAATGTGATCCAACAGCTCTGTGAATAATCTGTAAAATTATTGTCTTGGTGAAAAGACGAGATTTCCTTTGATATGGTGACAATTCTCTTCGGTTTTTTATGGCATGCAGAGGTTCGAGCACTGTTTGGATGGCTACAAACCTGAAGGAAAACACACATAATTGAGTCTTTTACTACTTTTTTCCTGGAATGAAAATTTGATGAATCCAGTTGGGCAAAATTAACACAGATTATACTGTTTTTGGTGTTAGGTACATGTGGGGGAAGTCTGTGTTGATGACTTGGTGTAAGTTTGGAAGTCATAGTGCCGTCAATTCCATTGTTTCTTTGCCGGTAGGTATATACGACCACTCACTGTTGGCAAAAAAAAAACTCACGAGAAAAAGATACAAAGCTCTGCAGTGTTACTTGTGAGCGAAACACGCCCTTCTCTCAAAACAAAATACCCATAAACAGAAGAAAAACCATGAAGAATGAGTCTTGTCATGGTGGCCGGTGTTGAAAAAAAATAAAATTTAGAAGGCGATTAAATTACAACCTAAACATGTTTCATCACAGTAACTGCGAAATATTCAGCAACACCCCATGAATTCCTACCAAACTATACAAGATATATGAGTTGCTTTTTTGAAATTCAGCTACCACGTTTATAAGGCATCAATACCTTCTGTAGCTTAGTCCCACGCTGCCTACTTTTCCCCAAACTTCAACACTTTGTTGGTAATTTTTAAATTTTCTCAACTTAATCTTTAAATTTATTTATTTTTCTTTATGTGATGTGATTTTAAATCATGCCACATATTTAGTTGAATGTTATTTTTTAATGGTGTTTTAACATAATTTTAAAGTATAATGTCATTATAAGTATTAAAAGTTTAAATCTAAGCTTTTTTTTATTAAGCTAAAGTGATTATAAAATAACATCAGTTCTAAATATTCTCAATCATTTGATATTAAGTACTCGAACATCAAAATAAATTTGCTAAGTTTAAAAATTTTATTTTTAATGGTCTACGTAAATTCACTTCAGAAATTTAAATAAGTTAAAGACTTAACTATTAAATATTTAAAATGAATAAATTTAATAATAAAATTAATTTTTTTCAGAGTACCAAAATAAAAATATAAATAAAATTGAGCAGTATTCGACTTTAAGGTCAAAATCTTGTGATAGGGGTTAAAAGTAAAATCTCAAGTGTTAGTGCGTAAAAGATGGTGTCATATCAACCAATTGGCAGTCTGCAAAGATTAAATTTCAATAGCTTTTGTTGACTTTCATATGGACTGATTGAAATCATTCATAAGTTGAACATAGATAAACGAATTATAAAGGAAATTTAAATTATTAAAAATTATAGATAAATTATAAATTTAAGTAGAACAACATAAGAAAATTATATATGAATACAAACATCAAAATAATAAATAAATATCATATTAAATTTAATCTTGAAAAAGAATAAATCAAAATAACATCTAAATGATTGATAACGTACCGTAAAAAAGTGTTTAAAAATAGATGATAACATGTCATAAGAATAAAATTATTAAAATTTTAAAAATAAAAAACAAACAAAGATATGATATGATATAAAAAATAAAATAAAATATGTACAGTTAACGTCTAACATTAAAACCAATATCACCATTTTATCAAATATAAACAAGAGAACGCGGCTAAATAGATTTAAAAAGAAAGTAATTTTAGTTTAAATTATATATATATAATAAAAATTATAGATATATGTTTAATTTACTTATAACGTAAATTAATATTTCGAATAATCATTTTATATATATATTCTTAAAATTTCAGTAGTCTTGACATTTTTCTAATCTAAGATTCAACTCCCCTAAGAAGCAATGGAGTACTAAACTTTCCGTAGTTGTATTCGACCACATCTCAATTGTGATCTTTCACGTGTACCATATTATCATATCAATCAGGTACAAAATTGTTCATGGAAAAATAAACAAATTATAACTTTTTCCTTTTCAGATTTTACCCACAAATGCTCTGACTTTTACTTTTCTTCCTTTTAAAAAATCAAAGATAAAACAAAAATTGCATTAAAAAATGTTTCTTTTTAAGAGGTGCATGGATTTTTCAGTATAATTAAGTGGTATGATATGTCTGTTCATATTGAAGTATATAAATATTATTAAATTATATTAAAATAATATATATATTATTATTATCATAAACTTGTTTTTCTGAGTAAATTGGAAATACCAATATCTTTGCCTGTGAACATAACCATGATATGATTCATGCATGAAATAGTACATACTCGGTCCTTGAAAATCTAGAGTACCAGAACTGCAAAAAATTGTACATTCTTCCGACTGCAGTTATGGGCAATATTATACTATAAAACGTGAAAGTCTTTTCACATGCATATCTTCTTATACAAGTGTACCACTTTAAGATTTGAGTGATTAAAGAGAATTTAATTATTTTTTGATGCTTCGGATTCAAACAATATAATCTTTTGTTGAAGCAAAGTAAGAAAAATATTGAGAAAAGTAGAGGAAAATAAGTAGAAGTAGAGAGAACTCTAACTTTGATTAATGTGTTTGTATATATATTTGATGAGTACAAGAGTTCATTATAAAGGGGTGAGGTATGCTGTTGGGATAAATGAAGCTTAAATGGACAACCAAAAATGTGCCAGAGGGGTGAATTGACAATATAAAGTTTAGGGAGTAAGGAATATAAAGATATGGAAATTTGCACAATGATTTATAGTGGTTCGACTTATCAACCAAGTCTACATCCACTACCTAAACTCATCACTTAGGATTTTCCAACAAATCCACTAATTTGTTATTTCTTTTTCAAAGAA